ACCGTTTCAATACTATCCCATATTTCTTTCCCACGTCGCTGAACCTGGTTTGAAATCTTTTGAAGGGGTGTTGATAGTGAAGTTGGGACAACGGGGTCTAATTGAGCAGAATCTCCAGTAAAGTACACATCTCTTCCACCAAAAAGCTCGTTTGAGTTGCTTGGCCATATTTCTCTCATTCTTTTATCAATCCAATATAACATGCCGCAGGATATCATGCTAAACTCATCAATAATAACTAGATGTACGTCTTTATATTCTTCCTGCAATCGTTTCAGCTTTGTTGGGCCCGTTTTCGAGTCCGTTAGAGATTTGTAGGGAATTGAGAATGAGGACTTTGAAAACGATGAAAATGAGAAAGCTGAGCACAGTGTTTATCCTTTTATGTTAAATGCAGCAGTTTCTTGATGAGCTAGGAGTAGTACCCGTTTTGATTTCCGTCTCGTAGCTTTATGTTCACCAAATACGTTGTGCATGTCCTTCACTATATGGCGAATTAGCCAGCTTTTCCCAGAGCCACCTTCACCGTTTATAATCATTTGGAGAGGCTTACACTTAGATTTATCCAGCATACATGTAAACCGTCTTCTCGATTGTTCCATTGCAATTGCAAACGGAATCCACTGCGATTCAGCCATTTTTTCGGTATTAACTAGATTTTTGTTATCCGAAGTAGGGTATTGATAGTGCGATTTCAAATTTCCAGTTTGACAAAAACTGGTTCCTAGTGATCGAGATTCTTTTTTCTCCTTCACCCATGGCTTTAGTGATCCATTCAAAAAGTCACGAGCTTTATCAATGATGGCAGACGTGTAGGTGTGTTTGGCTTTCCACTCCATCGGTTTATTTTGGTTTACTGAGGTTTCTACCGCACCCATCGGCTCTGGTTCTAGCATTCTCCATCAGTATTCGATACAAACACATACTCAGACGGAGGCAGGGCAGTTATACTTGATTCGCTACGAGCGGATTTTATTAAATCTAATTGATACTGCCGAGCTAACTTGGCATTTGATTCGTGTTTCAACTCTGCATCCAGCAGCGAATTTTGAGCTTGAAAAAAGCGTGCTATTGCTTCATCATCGGTTGTGGGAAGCTCCTCTAACGTCCGCCATGGAACATACAAAAATACTTCGGAGAAACAGAAAGTGGGGTTCGACGAATCGGGTCGTATCCAGGGTGTCTTTTGCACAACCGTGGCTTTCATGCGTTTCTTGATCCACCCTTCACCGTTCATACACTCGTACAGATCATCGGAGGATGCTACTTTACGTATCGACTCAATCGTTTCGAAAGTCTCTACAAATGTTGCTAAAGTCATAGCGTTAAAATGATCATTGTCCGGGCGATTCATGTACGCTTTCTCGATAGGCTCAATTCGAATAGTCTCGATCTCTGGTGTACTTGCTAAGGCAACAAGGTCGTCTAGGTTTTGCGGCTCAACGCGATAGTAACGGGTACTGGGACGCATCACCTTGACTTTGGTGATTGAGCGGGATTTACTATGCATTGGTAGATTGCGAAGGAGAATGTATATAGCTTCCGGTGCACCAACCTCGCGAACCGCGAGAGTCGCATTTGCTACTCGCTTCAGAATCGAATGATAGGGAAGATTTGAGTCACTCCGTTGTATAGCTTTTGCAATCACTCGCCTGAATCGAAGTGTATCTGGCTCTGCTTTGCTTACATACGCTCCTGCGTATTCAGCAGCTCCGTAGGAGTTTCCAATTAGTTGCAGGTCCATATTAGCACGCCAACACGAAAGGAGATGCGGTGAATAATTGTTAATAGTGGACACCTCACGTTGTAAGTGGATTTTCAAGGACGGTGTGCCATCTGAACTCGTTTTCGACTCAATTACAGTTCTAGGTTGTAAACTCTTGGGGAATCCAAAACGACATTCGTTGCCTTTCTTCCTACAAGTAGAACCTGCGTGGCATTCATGCTGCTGCACACGCTGAACAAGTCTGGCCAAATCACAATTCCACTCTTTGTTACCATAATGTGGTGGTCTTAAGGCCAGAATGTCACTTTCACTGGCAGTACAAGCAGAGCATGGGCGCGAACTAAGCTCCGAGAGCGTCTTCGTTAGGACTGATATGTGTTTATCTACAAAATCAGCTAGTTCGGCCCGTCCATCATCCGTCTCTGATAGTTTTAAAACGTCAGGTGCATCTTTCACCCACAGCAAGCAATGTATGTGAGGAGAGCCTCGTTGCTGAAATTCTACACGCCAGAAGTGATCTACAATTTCGCCTAAAGGTTTAGACCTCCCGCATAAAATGTTATCGAAGAATGCTTGAAATCTTCTGTTAAAATGACGGGCACTAATGTCTGGGTTCTCATTTAGATACCTCCTTCGTTCATTAAACGAGAGCTGTCTGCACTCTTCCAGTGTCAATGCAGGATTGCATGCTCGAGCGAAATTTGGCCAAATCGTATCCGCTGCGCTCAGTGTTAAAAAGAAAGTAGGCCATTTCGTTGGCAATACTCGATTTCCTATCATTGACATTAGGTCTTCTCGTACGTTCGACCAGTATAGTCCACTACCTCTCACAACTTTAAAGTAAGGTTTTAAGGATTTCAAAACGTTCATAGCGGCACTAAGTTCTTCCTTTTCGTTACTGGAGCGGCTTTCTCCTTGTGTTCTTCCACAACCGGCTAATTCCATTGCCTCGGCACGTGTTTCAGAATAGCGAATTCGTCGAACTAAACCGTCAATTTGACGGCGTTGAATTAGATTCATGCAGAAGAATTTAAAATTGCCGTGGATAACATAGCGCCGGTCGTGCCACTTCATCAAGTGAGCACAATATTCGGCTAGATTGTACTCGTGATGTCTAGTTTCGAATTCCAGAGGGTGATAACCACCCAAACCGTCTGGAAATAAAGTAGGAAAGCAACATTGCATTAGTTGTTTCGTTTTGTACTCATCAATAGTATGAGTTCTACGGTGCATATTTCCAATCGGGATTTTAGTTTCTAAAGAATCGGCTCCTATCGAATTAAGAATATGATCCATTTCAGTTTGATCGTCTTGGTTCACTTCTAATTCAAATGACTCAGTCACATTTTCAAGAATATCCGTTTCATTTTCACTGCCATTCGAACTCGTAGTAGTAGTAGCTAAATGACTCTGTTTTCCCTCAGATTCACTCTCATTTCGGACACCGGAACAAGTTTGGCCAGTCATACAGTGAGTATCTGGATTAAGTTTTTGACAAACGTCGTCTTCACTCGGCCCCTCAACACCGTTGCTACTAGGCCCACAATTTTGCTTTTCCCTGTTTAGTTGGCTTACCGATCCTCGTAATTCGCTGACATCATCATCCGTGATGGGTATACTTGGTATTTCCTGGTTGATGTTTTGATCGAGTTCCCTAAGATTATCTTCTGAAATTTGAATGTGCTCATAAAGCGGGTTATTCGCTATCAGCCAGCACAAGGCGCGCCTCACCAAATCTGGCCGCACACGAAAATAGTTCGTTGTATTATCCGATTGTGATTTAAGTAACACAACTCCACATTCTTTCAGTGGTCGAGGAAGTTCTTTTACCATTTTAGCCGGCTCGTTCCAGTAGTTGACTGCATTTCCGCGAGTAAATTCTTGGCCATCTCTGTATTGATTTACGCACGTAGTGAAGGAAATACCTAGTCCAACCAGCCTTGACTCTATTCGATTCAATTCAGCCAGTTCAGTCGGAACTGTTCCGATCCTAAAGCCACTACTCCGGCAAAATTTTGGTGTTTTTCGTGTCGTCAGCGATCTATTACATCTATCACACAGCCATATCATTGTTTTATTGTTGCTACAGCCACCAGCTAGTAACCTGTCATGAATGCATTCATTAGAAGCATCGCCTGCAAGCCCTTCGGGAACTATTTCACATTCTCCTTCAGCGTTGCACAGAGGTGAAAAGAATATTGATTTGGGGTCGAATAGTTTTAACTTTGAATTATACGCATTCGCAACCTCTCCGCAACTTCCGCACACTCGAGTCAAGGGTGCGTCAATGGCGTCGAAGAAATCTGCAATAGTGAAATGACAAGAGCTAGTCACTGTCCGTAACAGTTTATACCAGTCTTGTTGCATACCTTTGTTGTCGTTCACATGATTGGCAGCCTCATTAGCATCAAGGAGACGGTCTTTACGCTTCCGACGCTTGCTCTGGGGGAGACTTTGAGAGTCTAAATTCCTCCGCTTTGTTTCTTCGTGCCGTGTTAATCGAGCATTCATTTGCTCAGTTTCTACCTCGTTGAGTCTTTCGGCGTGTTGATTAGGTGTGTGTTGTTGGGTGGTCCCTATACGAGTCGCTATTCGACGTATAACGCGTAGTGCTGCTTTGGCTTGCTTGGCCGCTTTCATAGCTCGCGTCTTCTTGGTAGCACGAACCATTGCGACTCAAATAGTTTAATGACTTGGAGTCAAATCTTTCGACTCGAAATTAGGACAGGCTACTTCGCCTGTGTTCGTTGAAGTAAATGTACGTTGATGCTCCAGATCGAAAAGTGCGTAGGGTACCACGGTACGCCCATGGTTCCATATTGATCTTGTAGTCGTAAAAGATTTCATTTTTCAAGGGCGCATCTTCTTCCTTGTTTTCTTCCTTATTGTACATACTTAAACTACTCTACAGCAACAATAACATAAAATATCAGCAATGAAAAAAACTACATTTACTCCCAACCTCCAACTGCCCTTCAAAGTGCTCGTAAGCCGTAGTAACATGCACGTTATATTATATTATAAGCCCGTGTAAATTCGACCTACAGTTAAATTTACCTCAGCAAATACGTCGATATGTAGCAGCTACGGCGGAAGTTAAAAATCAAATGCAAAAGCAGCAGTTGTACATTAACTAAAACAATACTAACGTTATTTCCTGAACTGGGTCAACTCACATGAATCCTGTGCAATTTGTAGATCCGCAAAAGCATTGCTTTTGATTCTAGAAAAAAAACAGTTAGAGTTTCGAGTAGGGACCATTAAAAGCAGGCACTTAGCTTACCTGATCTCGTACAAACGCCCTTCCGTACTTGATGGTAATTTCTTCTCCCTTGTTAATAGCGGTGACGGAAAATATTCCACAACAGGTCTCACCACCGACCTCCCAGCGCTCCACAACACAATTTGGCGAGCAACTATGGTTCGCAAATCGGGCGATTCCTCCAATGAAGCGTGCATCAATCACCTCATTTGTATTCACAGCTAAACCATACGTATGGGGGGAGCGCCGACTTTCCTACAAAGCATAGTACCAGATTCAGTAAAATCACAAACTACAACCACCTAAACGGTATCTTACCTTTTCTTCACGTTCCCGATACATCGCTCGACTTATCACCTCGCCTACGTACTGAGCTATCAACGTATCACGCTCGATTGGCATGTCCGCCATCAAAGAGATGCATTTGCCAGGTAGGGACGCCAGCGATAGTTCTGCATGTCTGCCACGTTGCATTCGTTGGTTCCCACATTTGTAGTTTGATGCGCAGTGGCCTTCCACACACTCTGTTTGTGTCTATAAAATTCATTAGTCGCGTACTTGTCCAGGCAAACAAGTCAGAAATTGCCAATTTCACGCACAGCTTGATTTTCACAACCTGAAACACATGTCAAAGTCCAGTCAGCACGAGGCTGACACTTACAGTATGATATGTCCAGCTAGGCAAATATCAAAACGTATAGGAATTAGTACTCTAAGTTAAATGTAAAGTGTCATCTTTCACATTACCGTGGGTCTGTTACGAGGTCTACACACGTATACATTTTGCGCCACGTCTTCATACTCCGCAAATGCTTGCAACACGGAACGTTCTCGGTACACCTAGTATTTATTGTCAGAAATTCTGGTCAATTGGGCTACAAACATTCACCACCTACTTGATTTGGACCTTGCCTCACGCGCGTATGTTGGTTTTCACCCCCGCCTCGAAGAAAGAACTCGTCCAGCTTGAGCTGTTTCATTGCAGGACCCGTGGATCTGCCCTGACGTAATCCAAATCTTATATGAAGGCTCTCATTCCAGTATAACTGCTCTTTTGATCCCTCACATTCTAGATCTGGTGCCACCCCTTTGGAGCTGCTACCAGGATCTTTGTGAGCAAATTTTAAATCTATTGGCGCTTTATCACACCTAAAACTACTACTTCAATTTCAATTCGAACATCGCATATCATCACAGCGAATACCAAAGTAAACTATTTTTTTGTATTCATTACACTCGTTTTGTGGTTAAAAGTTGCCTTCTATTTGGTGGTTATTGTGCTATTATTCATTACACTACGAACCTATGAAGGCAAATTAGTTTGTAAATGCTAACCGCAGCTCTCAATACAACAACTTTGCTAATTTTCACGAAATATAAAATTGGGCAGTTGCTACTGCACGTTTCGCACCTGGCTGTTGTTCAGGTGTGGCGCTTGCTGCGCTTCGCCACTGTTGGATGATTTTCCTCGCTCTTGCTCTCCGATGCCATCACCACATCATTGTCAGTCGGGATGGCACTCATCGCACTCGTGTTGTCTTCCGCTTCGTAAGCCTTGGTTTTTAGGTGTTGTGGTGAGATCTCACAGGCCACCTTGCGTTTTTTCAGTGGTGGTTCGACCTCGAAAATCTTGTACTTGTTACCGAGCTCGTACTGAACGCTCCCCTTTGCAATATCAGCATAGAAACCAACGCCATCGGCATGGGAAAATTTGTACACGGCACCAGGTTCAAACTTAATATTGCGCTTGCCATTGACACACTTCGTCGGTTTGGCATCCCACACCGTCACTTGAACCAGATACGGTTTGCGCTTCAGAGGTGTCAAGTCGGCTAGGGCATTTGCTGTCGGCTCGAACACTTCCCGTTGCGCGGCGTCGACCAGCGTAGCACGAGTTCCATGGTCACCGCGAAGTCGTTCCGATTGAAGGCAGCACATGCTGAGCGTAACGCTTACATCAGCAGTTGGGTGCGACGCCAAAATGAATTCTCTAAACTCCGCCACAGTTGAGAATTGGTTCAACGTTTCTTCTTCCTTCTGCTTTAGGACGTCGTTCTTGATAGCTTCTAGCAGATTCATAGTTGTATGTGGTGAAATTGTGCGATGGCGTTGCTTCGTCGCTAGCAAAACTAAAAGTGAGCACTGCCGGCACGAATCATCCGTCCCATTCAAGATACCCACGTCCTACTGCCATTGTACGCGGCGGATAAGGTAAAATAATGCTATATTCGAACAAACCAAAAGGGTGACTATAATTAATTTGCAAACAAACTCTTTCATTGTGATATTACACACATTTCCTCCTCGCCAATTCCTTTAGTTCTGTAAACCACTCTGGCTTGAAGTCTACGAGCAACTTCACAAATTCTGACAAATTCTCGTAATTTTTAAAGCATTCCCGCACCAAATATTACTGGAATTTTGGCTCGATCGTTCGAAGCGAAACGTCAACGTATCCAAGAGATGTGATACAACTTCGTTTAGCCATTGCATCTTCAACAAATCTATTAGCTGATTCATTAGCGAACGTATCCGAAGAAATGCTATTCAAAACGCCATCACTATCACAACCGCTTCTTCCATAATCTTAGACTTTATTTGTGTAGCCCACTTGCATGACACTGCCCAGTACTCGATGTCCATCGTCATTGCCTAGCACAGATACCATACATACGAGATCACTGCATTATTAATGAATTTGAAGTTGGGGCATTAATTATGAGTCCATATTACATTTTGCGACTCCTTCTAGATCTACCAGCCAAACTTCAACCGACAGCACCGTCGTGCCACACCGCACGCATCCTCACCAACGTTTCTAGATATACAGTCACCTTCACTTGATCCACGTAATGGTTTCCAGCTCCAAACCTGGTACATTGTGTCTATTTGCCAATTTTACACCGTTTACATTTATTTTGACGCCCCTAATCTATCTAGTTTGTTAGTACGATGCCTTCCTACATTTTTATCGTAAAATTGAGTTTAATTCCTACTCCTTAGCCTTCAAACCCTGCGCGCATTCTAGTTATTGAACCATCAACGTATCCAAGAGATGCGATACGACTTCATTTAGCCATTGATTCCGCTACTGCAACTTCAACATATCCATTAGCTGATTTACCAACGAACGTATCCGAAGAAGTCATTAGCCTCCAAATCCTGCACGATTATATAGTTATATATTTTTTTAATTTTGATCTACTTCATAAATTCCATATCTACAATTTCATGCTACAACTGTGCTTACTTCCTCCCACACTCATGTCTACAGTAGCTCCAATTAGTATTAATTAAATTCATAGTATTTCGTTGCAACAACTCTGTTATATTATCCTTTAACTGAAAAGAAGAATACCATATAGTAATTGCTGATGCACCAGCAACATGGTCTGATCGTTTCCCCGAGTCTTCATCATTAACGCCATCACGCTGTTGCTGTCGGTCAAGTTGATTCTTGTAGCTGCTGTATGACCCTCACCAAGACGTGCGCTTTTTGAGGGGAGGCGCAATCTCTCTGATCTTATCCAAGTTGCCATACTCGTACTGAATACTGCCCTTCGCGATGCCATCGTACAATCCGACATACTCGACTTGATTAAGAACGTACATAGCTCCAACGTGAAACACAATGTTTGAATCGCCAGCGAAAGCGTTCGACATCTTTGAATCCCAAACAGTCACCTGCACCACATCGCGTTTGTCTTGATAGCCTATACAATCATCAACTGCCTTCAAGGCTGTGTTGACTTCCACACATCTCCTTCCGTCGACCAAGACTACACGGGTAGCGTTAGTACCTTCAAGACGCTCCACGTGAAGGCAACACATTCTCAGTGTCACGCAGATATCAACTGCAGGGTGTGTCATTGTGATGAATTCACGAAAGTCTCTTACGCTTGAAAACATGTTGACAGCTTCCTCTTCCATTTGTTTCAAAACGGCCCCGCGAATGGAATCCAAGAAATCCATTGTGACTTGATACAGCAAAATCAAAAGTGACAGACGCAAATCCGAAAGTTAAATAAGCCAACTTCAACCCCAGTAAGGAAACTGTTCACAGCAGTATTACTTTTGCATGTCATATTTTATTCATATCGACTAGAGAGCCCAGCAAACGGTGGGTAATTGAGGGAGTACTCTTAAATAGTTGGTAAGTTGTTCCAGGCTCTGCTCGAAGCCCAGAGAGATATTAAAGTGGTGCACCATACTGCGTGAAAAGGCGTAGCGCTTGGCCAGATCCACTTTGTGTAGCGATAGGAGAATAGGCACCAGCAACTTCCCACGGTCCTCTGCGAAAGCCAATTGATCAGCAAGAAGGTCGCAATTTGCAGACAGCGGAGACACCACCACTAAGACGACAGAGCAGGCGAGAATGGCATCTTTTGCAGCCAATTGCCGCGTTTCAACAGGTAAAGGAGCCACTGGTTGCTCAATGCAGCTCAAATCTGCGCCGAAACCGCCGCTTTGAACATCGCTGTTCACAGTATCTTGCGGCCGATGCGCATATTGTACCGCATGAACTGTTTGATCCACAACACAGCGTATTCCCTGCTTGAGCAACGATTTCTGGAGGCGTAGACACAATGAGCGGTGGATATCACCATGCGCAATAAAGACGAAAGAGTCTGTACCGGATGTGAGCGCGAAAGACGAAGCCAATGAGTCAATCCGTCGTAATGGCCGAATAAGTGGCACGTTCAGTGGCCCTCTGGGAAGCTGATCGCTGCATTCGACGTGTCGATTTCTTCACACTCGCTTTGCTTATCATGATCCTTAGACATTCCACACAATGCTCTGTCTTCTTCCTCCGGATAACACTCACTCTCGTTGCGACGGCTTCCATGGCGTGACGCGTCTCCGCTAACAGTAGCATCAGTCTCATGACCAGGAAGTTGTGCTTGTTGCTGCTGCTGCAACTGGCGCCGAGCTAGTCGTGCACGATGCTCCTCGATTTGATCTTGAATACCGTCCAGTAGCATCCTTAAGCAGTGGCAAAAGGCCTCGTCATTGTAGTTCGGAACTAACTCGAGGTTGCTTAAGACGCGCTTGCCCACCATATTGACCACCACGTTCGTAGTATCATCTTCACTGTACACTTCCCCCTCATGTGAGTCAGTGTCAACTGTATATGAGCTATTCCTCGCCATCCGCTGCAGATCAGCATCATCTCCTGTAGAACTTACACCGTTATTGTGCTTAACTGCCGATCGAAAGTCAATCACTTGGCGGGTCCACAGGTAAACTTGTAGCTCTTCAGATATCTCCATATCCTCGCATTGTATAGCCACGACAGAAATGTCTGCATTTTGGCAAAAGCGAGTTCTTTCATGCACCATTGTGACTGTGGGTAGTCTTTCGTGAGTACAGCTAATACAAGAGCACTGCTATGGATCCCGCGAGCAATCTCTTGACGCCAGACGGATCCATCAGTGATCCCAGTAGGTCCCATAGTGTCGATCCAAGTTGTCACTCGGTGGCGCTCTAACGAGTCTCGAATCTTCCGTGCTAACGGTGCGTGAGCATGACTGTAGCTGATCATAAAGTCGCGCTGACCTGCCTCCTTCTTCGCAGCGAAGCGTAGTGCTGGCGAACGTGCGCAGTCGATCGCACGTTGACCGAGCAGATTGACTGCTGTTAAACTTAGGCCAGCACGAAAGAAAAGAACCGCTGCAGTTTGATTGCGTCGCCGAAGCGCAACATGGAGAGCAGAATCGCCATTGCTTGTACGTGTAGCGCGCAGATCGACTTCATCTTCCAACAGCAGCTGGAAAATACGGGGGTCAAGTCCACGCGCTAACGATCTCTGGCCGCTCAGCACCGCCTCCATTCCCCCATCCTCGCTTCTCGACCCATGTCCGTGCGAAGGCGATCGTTTGAGACTCGCGGGCGACCTCCAGAGCAACCTTAGCGGCTTCGATAGCGCAGAGCGAACACGAATCGCTGCTTAGAACCACGCTCCCACGCCTCTATCCTATTTCAGTACAGAAAAACAGTGCATTCTGAACGTGTAGCCATGACTTTTTACAGAGTTCTTACGGCTCTTTATCCCTTCCAATATATCAGTTTTGATGCCCTTTATGACTAAATAGGACTGTCCCTCGACGTTAATCGTTACCAGCGTAACGGTTCGCATGGGTACGCGCCGTAAGGCCGTGAGCGTAAAACGTTCCTAAAACTTTCTTGAACAGCGCAATCCTTTGGCGCCTGATACAAAGCGACTCTTCATACAGAGCATAAAAATGACTCCTCTTTTTAGTGACTGTTAATACTACAAAAGAGGTCACTACCGCGCTTTTCTATTTTTCTTCCCCGTCACTCCCTTTCAAGGGTTCTTATACACAAGTATTTTTCGCCAAAAATGGTCCCTAGGCGGTTTGATTATAAATGTCTACCCTAACCCTTTTCTAATACTTCGTAAATACTCCTGTAAAAAGAGTAGTTGTCTTACTAATTCGTTTCATTATAGGGCCAAGAAACGGACGCACGATAATACTGGGGCTTTGCCCCAATAAGTCTAAGATTTAAAACTGATGTGTGGTAATGATTGCACTGGTCGGAGAAGTCGGAGAAATGACTTTATGCATGTGATATGCCTACATATTGAAATTTGTAAGAGCATGTCCATATTTCCTGAGTCCCTTCCAACCCGATATGTCGGAGCCAGCTCCAACGGTTTAACCTAACCCTTACCATTTCGATTGGCCAAATTATCTTGTCAAGACCGTACGATTGGCTGTCTACTAAATAAAAATGGATGATTGGTGATTAATACCAATACTAAAATTAAGTAGGGTCTGAGAATTGATGATACTCGTCCATAACAGGCAAAATCAAAAAAATAAAACTGGTTTTTAAATTAGTTTAAAAAGCAAGCGACAAACCGTCTGTATGGGTTTTTCATCGATTAAATTAGCCAATCAGATAGCGGTATTATTTGTTGAAAGACTCCGACATTGTTCAAACCAGCCATGTTGATCCCCGAGGTCTCGTCGGTGTCGGCGTCTACGACCGACACGCAATGCTCACTGCTGCGACGCCTCAGCACGCTCGGCCTGCTGTATGCTAAGCTCTCGCTGCGTCAGCTTTGCGATTTAGCGCCGCCCGTTCCCGCGTTCAACACGGAGCCGCGCGATCTGGCGCTGAAAGCCTCGCTGTTGGACGGTAGGGCGTTGTTAGGCCCATTCTCGGCCGAAATGCTTGAACCACTGGCTGCGTGGCTAGACCAGGGTATTCACAAGGTACTGGTAGATGCCGCATCCAGCGAAGACGCTGAGCTGGAGCGTGTAGCCATCGCTGTCTCCGAGCTGCCAGCCAATCGTGTGGTGCTGCGCATTGCCGTGTCGTCGCTGCACGCATCCGAAGTCACTGAACTTGGAGAAAAGCTAGCAAGATTAGTTGATACTGTCAGCGGCGTAGTGTTTGTCATCAACTCTGTAACACTGGTGCAGGAGAACGGATTCGAAGATGTGTATACGAGCTTGCAAGCGTTGAGGAAGAGTGTGGATGAAGGATTTCTCTTTGCCGTCGAGATGAGTACAGGGCCTACTGCAACTTACAACTCGGAAGTGGCATTGGCCAGGATTCAACAGCTTCACCACAAGCACATCTGTATTGTGTGTCCTGGTTACTGTAGTGGCGAAGGAGAGCAACATGATATGGCTACAGAAGACGGAGCAGCTGTGGTGGACGCCGCATTGGCCTTCGTCAAGTGCCTACGTACAGACCGTCCCGACAGTCTCTTTACTACCGTCGTGGCTGACGAAGCAGGTGTCGCCCTGGGACTAGTGTACTCTAGTGCCGAGAGTATCATCGCTGCGGTGTCTAGTGGCCGGGGCGTGTACTACTCTCGCTCACGTGGTGGCCTCTGGAAGAAGGGAGAGAGTAGCGGCAACGCCCAGAAGCTCATCCAGATCGACATGGACTGCGACAGCGATGCTCTGCGCTTCACAGTGAACCAGACTGGCGCAGGCTTCTGCCATCTCGACACGCGCACGTGCTGGGGTCACGACGGCGGTCTGCGCGCACTAGAAAGCATGCTCTTCAGTCGCCACGAGAACGCGCCTGCTGAGTCTTACACGAAGCGGTTGTTCGACGATGCCGAGCTGCTACGTAACAAGCTCGTGGAGGAGGCGCAGGAGCTCGCAGAAGCCGAATCAGTCCCAGATGTGGCTGGTGAAGCCGCTGACGTCATGTATTTCGCCATGGTGCGATGTGTGGCAGCAGGCTGCAAGCTCAGCGACGTTGAGGTACGATTAAATTTTGCTTTTTTTCTTATATTCCGGTGGTTCTCTTAAAAAAATACTTTTTTGCAGAGAATGCTTGACAAGCGCGCGTTGAAGGTGAAGCGACGACCTGGGAACTCGAAGGCGTACCGTATCTCGGCAGCCAACAAGATCTTGAACACCAAGGGCATGCAAAGTGGCTCAGCGTCGGCGGTATCAGCTTCTGCACTTAGCGAGAAGAGCTAGATCCTAGAAAGCCGGAACAGGGCACCTTTAGAAGACAGCAACATGAACGTCTACCGGGCCTATGCATACACTGCGCGACAACAGTATATGGACTCCCCTTGTTTTGTCCATGTGTTTAAGGCATTCTCTACATCCAGGTATTTTCGGGCAGTCGACGAGAAGTAAGCCAAGTATCCTAGTATTTTTCTTCGTGTTTCTGGCAGTTAGCGTACGAAGCGGCTACTGCTGCCTCCGTAACGCATAGCCGTATTGCCATCACTCCCCCGCATTAACTCATGCGTTCGGTTGTCGAATAGTAGTCCAGAACGCTGCGGATTGCGTAGTATTGAGTCATTACGAATCAACCAGTTTACTCGTCCTCCTCATCATCCTCGTGGGCGTCCTCCTCCTCTTCTTCTTCATCCTCTTCTTCATCTTCCTCATCCTCGGCGAACTTGGACCAGTCGATGTGGTGGTACAGACGCTGTTCGTGCAAAATAGAATGTGTCAGCACCACCAGAATGGATCATAGCTCCTGCGGACTGCGTTGTTTCTACAGACAACGTCAAGGTACGTACGCCGCGGTTGTTGGCCTCCCAGATGTAGTTCGTGGCCGAGCCGTAGACGCCCTCGGCGATCAGCGTGGCAATCAGCACCGTGGTCACGTACACGGGCGAGCTCTTCATGAAAATATTGTAGGCGCCGTCAAACGCACCCTTGCCGTTCACAGACGAGCGCTTGGTGGACGCCATGCGGGCGCCCTGACGCTTGGCCTGCGTGGCCGCCTGGCGGATGGTTCGGCTCAGCATCGTCGTCTAAGGATTTCTGTACGGTGTGCGTCTTCTTTAGCTCAACAGCAATGGCAGGAGGGGACGGACGAGCCTGCGGCTATGAGAGGCTCAGTGTTTCAAGCAACCTTCGGACGACATTACCAACATATTATGTTCAAACCTCACAAACTACACCAGACACACACCAAAGAGCCGTTTTTTGTCTTGGTCTGAGTACCGGTATGCCAAAAAGGGGGGGATTTCTGCGATTTCAAAACAACCGGCGCGAGATCAAGAAGTGAGAATAGTCAATTCGAACGTATTGCCGCCCGCTAAAACCCTAGGAGAAGCGGTGCCGGCTCGACTAGCGGAGCCGAGTCACAGCCTTATTTGCCTCATGGAGCCCCTCGCCACCGGGAAGCGGCGACGGCCAGCGTCAGCGTCGCTATCGCCGCCACCTCCGCCGCGTCAACCCACGCGAGACGATGAGAATAGCGCTAGGAGCTGGAAGAAGAGGCGACTGGAGTCAGCGACTACTGAAGGGACAGAAGAGAAACGTTTGGAGCTGCGTAGTCCCGAGCCAGAGGAAAAGGATGCTACGCCTAAGGGAAAGCGACGGCGTAGTGTCTCGCCAGAGAAGAAGGAGATACAGGAGGAGACTAGCAACAGCTGCAGTAGCAATGACGAGAAACAGGAGACCAAGCGACGTCGTGTAGGCGAAGAGGGCGGTACTTCTTCGTCCCCTCTCGATCTACCGGCCTCCCCACTGGCCAATCTCAGTGGGAGACACTTACGGACTTCAGCAGAACAGGAGAAGAGGCCTACAGAGGAGAAAGCGAGATTCCCTCCGTCACCTATTGTCATCCCTCCACGAGAGGAAGACGACGATATCTCCAACCGAGAAAACGTCGCGACCTACACCAACTTGGAGGACTTCGTTGTCAGCTCACAAGGCAGTGACGCTGATCTCGTCGCAGCTTGCGCCAATCTAGAAAACGACGTTGTGGACTGCAGTCAGGGCTCTCAGAATAGCGATGTCGAGCGGGTACGGCAGCGTACCTCGCTGCGGACAGTACAGGTTACGCCGCCTCCTTCGGCACGGATGATGGATAGGAAGAATCCTCCGCCTCCACCGAAGAGGCCGCGTCGCAATTATCGCCGTGGTATCGTGTACGCGCGGGCTTATCCGCGGTTAGCATTGTCCCCCCTTGTGGACAACTCGCCTCCTAGCTCTCCGCGCGTCTTCCGGTCTCTAGAGAACGAATTTGCGTTTGCGATGCAGGACACGCCTGAAATCCGACCTCGGGTTCGCCCAGCGCCGAGAATGGCGCGAGGCTCACGACGATCCACGCGAGCAGGGAGCTCTCGAGCACGGCGGTCCCTGGACACACCCACCTCGACGATGGTATTGAGGTCACGACTGCTAAATCCGAGCCTGAGTGCAGACGGCGGCAAGCCGGAAAACCAGCGCGAGCGGGAGCAGCGTGACGCTCAACGCCGACACGAGTAAGGAGGGGAAGTGAGGGCTGATATGAGTGGCTCCACCCGCATGGACCATGGGTGCCTTCGTCATGACGTCGGACTGGAGGCGATTTAAGTACTTTTTATTGTTAGTTTAAGTTCTTATTTTTAGGAATTAGGTGCTGAGATAGCAACCTAGACACTGTAGTTTTAAGATGTGAAATGCACTAATTCCACTGTTTTATTCATAATTGTAAGTGTTTTAAAGCTTCACTCCGAAGGTTTTATACAGCGAGTTTGTCCACCAAGCGATTTATTCATTTCAACGACCATGAAGGTGTTGCTGATCAATGAGGGCTCGCTGAGCGACTTTGAGGTGCTCTCGCTCATGCAGGAGCGCAAGGAGCAGCGACTACATAAGTCCGCTATGGTCGCGTATGCTGAGCGCAATTGGATGGACCATAAGGTGCTCAAGTTCCTCACTCAGAGCCACTCGCATTGCTCCACTTTGACCTCCAGCAGCATCCAAGACTTCCTCAAGGAGCTGAAACAGGCGGATCTACCTGCGCTCTCTTCAGCTGAGACGCTGCAGTTCATCAACCAGCTTCCCACGGAGCTCGTGGACATTCATCTGATCATTGAAGACTGCGCAGGGCGATTCTCAGAGACCCAAGTGGACGAGCTTATCCGCATCGTCGAGCGGACGTTAGCGGCTGAGTTTCTAGAGCGACGGAATGCTGAAGCTCAGGCTGAAGGCGCAGCTGAAGAAGCCGAAGAATAGTGACGATCAAAGTGCGAAACGTAAAATATAGAACGGATGCAAGGCCTTGCCTGCGCCATTGAGAAGTAACCCAAGCCTACGAGCAGAATGCAAGTATCAGAATGAAATCTGCTCCAACCAAGCCACTTCAGAGTCCTTAGACCGATCACCTGGTCGAAATCGGAGAGATTTCCTCTGCTATCTGGCTACCAACCGCCTTCAAGTCCTCGTGTGGCAACCTAGAAATGTCCCTCGAGTGTCCGCATTAGCTTGAGTCCTGTGGATGTACGTGTGTTGAGGTGAGTAGAATGGCAGTGTTGCAGCTTGTCTTACTGGCTGGCGCGTGCCGTCTGTACAGCGGATCTGGCCTCGGGAAACATGCCCACGTACTCCTGCGACGACAGATATCTAACACTAATCTGTCGCTTGTTGAACCACCGACCATGCAGCTTCTTGGCGGCAGACACGGCAGCTTCTACAGTTCCAAACAGCACGTACACGAGGCCTCCTTGTTTCTCCTTCTCCACGTACGTATGCAGCACAGAGCCATACTGGCCACACTCTTCCTCGACATCTTGCTGGATCTCCACGCCCCACTCCGGGTTCCCGCTCTTTTGCTCCTGATACACGTCGAACATATTCTTCACCACGAAGCAGAACGACTCGCTGCCTTCAATCTCCGACGATGACATCAGCGCCGTAGCTTGTTCCGCTCTCTGCGCGGCGGTAGCGGCCATACTATTGGTGTACGCAGCAGTGGACGCCGTGTATCCGCCAACTCCACTCATGGACGGGAACAGATTCACGTCATTTCCAGCGAGCTTCGCCATCAACGCCGAGCGCGACTGCGCGTTCATACTCAAGCCCTCACCCTCCTCGTCCTCCAGCTTCCATCGTCCACCTGTCGCGTTATTATCCACACTTGACACGCCTGTGCGGTTCCCCACTGCGTTCTCATTCACAGGACCCAATCGTAGAAAACTGCCTGCCAGCTCCAACCCGTTGCCCTTGGACAGGGCAAAGTTGGCTTCCTGTGGACTGCTGAACTGTATAAAACTGAAGCCCTTGGAGCGACCCATCTCATCCCGGTTGATCGTCACTGAAAGAACCTCTCCAAACGACTGGAAGACGATTCGTAGATCGTCTTCAGTGATGTTCGTGTGGAGGTTTCCGCAGTAAATGCGACTCGCAGCGGATAAGGCGGACGCAGACATGCCACCGCCCGAGATGGCGCCTGCCAGTCCTGCGCCGGACCCATCAGCACTCAGAGGACCGCCAGAAGCTGCAGTGCCGTTCATAACCGAGTCTTTCTTGGCTGCAAAGTTTTTCTCGGCTTCTGACACCTTGATCATGATGGGGAATACCTGGAAGTCCGGCACCTGTCCATTCAGAAGCAAAACCTTTGGCACATCTTCCAGATTCGACAGTTCCACGTACGCAAAGCCCTTGGAGCGGTTGGTGAACTTGTCACGGATCAGCAACACGTTCTCCACCTTGCCAGTCTTGGTTAGAAATCGCTCCAAGTCCTTCTCGCGCACTTTTTGAGTCAGTTGGCCCACGAAGACTGTACGGTGGTCTCTCGTGAGTTCCATGAGTTCACGCTGCTTTGCACGCTCTGCACGCTCAGCCGATGTGCTTCGTTCTCTCTCCTCCTTTGGAGCCGAGCGAGAGCGACTTTTGCTCTTGCGTTTCTTTCTGGATGAACGCTCCCTGCTGCGGCTGCGACTGCGTCCTTTATCTCGTCGAGAGCTCCCGCGACTGCGACGTGAAGAGCGGGAGCGAGAGCGACGAGAGCGACGAGAGCGACGCGGACTTCTGGATCGGGAGCGTGGGCGATCCCGATGACGACGTCGCGAGTGACTTCGACTGCGCGTCCTGCTGCGACGTCGAGAGGAGCGGCGTGAGTCCTCCTCTGGTCTGTCGTTCTTCGCATCCTCGTCGTCCTCCTTGGACTAAGATACAATAGCAAAAGACACGAGGATCAGTTGATACGTTCGTTTTATCACGATAACTCGAGCAATACAGAATATTCAAAATCCATCTTTGCATGGTCAGATAGCGAAGCGTCTTTTCTTCACAGTGTCGTACCTTGGCAGCAGCCTGGATGCCTTCCTGCAGCAGTGAATCAATGTCCTCGTCCGCCATCACCACCGCAATATCCACTCGCTTTCTGTCGCTTGAGGGGCTGAAAGTGCAATTCATTTGGCTCCATGCAATTCAAAGCCCACAATATGTAATAGCCTTTCACTCATCATGATGGGCTGGTGTTTAGTACACAAAGTGTATCCATCTCATACGTTCCCCTAACGATGGCGACGATGGAGGAGCTGCGCGCCGCAGGCAACGCCTTCTTCAGCGCGAAGGACTTCAAATCCGCCGTGGACAAGTACACAGAAGGTCTAGATGCTTCTCCTTCGTCTTCTGACCTCTCTGGTGACGACCTAAAGGCCGTGGAGGCGCAACGCGTGTTGCTTTGGAGCAATCGCGCCGCCTGTCTCCTGCAGCTCGAGGACTTCGCTGCAGCGGAGAAGGATTGCACACTGGCGCTGGGTGTGGAGCCAGACAACACCAAGGCGCGATACCGTAGAGCACAGGCGCACATGGGTATGGGAAACATGACGCAAGCCTTTAAGGATGTACACCTGGTGCTGCAGCACGCGCCGAGTAATAAAGCGGCGGCTGCGTTGGCTCGGCAGATCCAAGAGCGCGTGCGAGAAGACGTCCATGGTGTGCAAAAGGCATTGGACAGTATCGTAGCTGGTGTACATGGGGAAAAAGGCGATGCAGACGTGAAGGAGGTGCTTAAGGAGCAGGAGAAGACTGTGGAGGCCTTGCAATATCTTGAAATGAAGAGCGTCTCGGAACTCGCGAGTTTGCCTGAGGAAATTGCAAAGAGAGAGGGACTGGTTGTGTTATGGAGAGCAGCTAAAAGGCTTATGGAGCTGAGCGAGAGTGAGGAGAAGGAGAGGCTGTGGACGATCTTGTCCCATGTGGCCTCTTTGCTCTCAATTTTAGCATCGGCGTCGATGGCACTCGCCGGAAGGACGTTTGAAGCGAACAATGGGGCGCTGAACAGCTTACTAGAGCTGTTACATAACCAGGTGGCGCTGGAGTACGAAGCGAACGGTGAGGTGCAGATGCCGATTAGAGGACGAAAGGCGATTATTCGACTCTCCGCGTTCATCTTCAAGTATCTGCTGATCGCGGCCAAGTCCGATGACGACGCGTGTGTACGTCGCGTGCTTGGTGGGATGCTGGATGGTCTACGTAGTCGTGAACGCGTGCTGCAGATTGCGGCGCTGGACGGACTGCTCCACTTCATCTCTGTATTGGGCGAACAGACTTCGATGGTGGCAAATGATGACGACAGTGTGGCGCAGCACTTAAAGGCGCGCTTTGCAACGTTGGCGCAGGAACTGGGGCTGCTCTCGTTGCTGCACACTACAGCATCCAGTGCATTGCCAGGGTTTGCAACTACTGCTGAATCGTCGAGTTCGGAGCTGACGGGCGTGCTGCTGAGTCGTCTTCCTCTAGTATTCACGCAATGTCTGGCGCACTTTGAAGGGGACGATACGATGCTGAAGAAAATGGTAAGAGACTGGTGTGTGTCTCCTGTGCTGGTTGCGCGGGCTACGAACCGCACTCAGCTGGCTCAGGGCTCTGCGTCGTGTCTGCTGCTCTCGGCGCTCTTCCTTTCCAACGCGAAGCTTGCGCTGTGGGCTGTGCAACAGACTGGGAATGACGGTACGGCGTTCCTGACTCGCTTGCATGAGTTCCTGACTGCTTCGCGAGCTTTCGACGACGTTAAGGCGAACACTCGACAGCTGCAGGAAATCTGGGTCGACTGTGTGGCTAGTATCTGTGGTGTGGAGCATGGACCAGCGTGTGTGCCTCCTGCATTGAGGATTGAGATCTATCGCATGTTGCAGGCTTCGTTGGATGACGAAGAAGACTTGATGCTTCGTGCCAGTGCTCTGAGTATTCAAGTGAAGCTCGGGATTGTGGAGAAGACGCTGGAATTGCCGTCCGCGGACGGTCAGTTTCTTATGGACAGCGTATTTGAAGTACTTGCGAGTGCAGAACCCGTGGAAAGCAAGCGCAGAGAAGAAGAGAAAGCCAAGCAGAGTAAGGAAAGCACGAAGAAGGAAGTACCGCGATCGCAGCTGTTCTGGAGCGGAGTTTCTCCTAAGGAACGTGGAATTGAGGCTTTATCGTACTTAATCACGTACACCCCGGTCAAGGACGCTTTCGTCAAGCACGCTGGAGCCGTTGCTAGTGTGTTCCGAGTCGAGTTTCCCAGCGCAAGGGACTCAAGTAGTGGAGCGCAGGCTAGCGCTGGCTTCAGGTCGAACGTTTACTATGGGATCGGTTATATTTTGCATCACGTCTTGACGTCCGAGGCGGCTATTAAGCGGAAGCAAATGGAGGGCATGGAGATGACGGCGGATCAGTATGAAGAGCTGCAAAAGGCCTTGAAGCAGAAGTCTGCGCTGGACGATGGCGACACTCCTGAAAGCGTCCAGTGCCGAGTGATTAAGCTCGCTGCGTCTCGTGATGTGTTGACTACATTGGTGCAGCTATTAAAGCTGTCTGCTACCAAGTCGGAGAACATTATGGAGATGGCTACACTCAGTGCTCTACATGCGGCCGAAGCGCCGACAGTACGCGGCAATCTGGTGCAATGTGGCGTCTTCCAGGCGCTGATCCCGTTAGCGCTCCATCACATCGCTGTAGCCAAGAGCAAAGACGACAAAGCCAAGAAATCGTCGCAGATTCAGGGCACCAAGATCTCAAACGCGGCAGGCCAGGCGATGGCCAAGATCTTGATCAGTACGAACCCCAACTTGATCCCTTCGTCGTCGTTGTTCTCGTCTATCCGTCCGCTACTGGATCTGTGCAAGGGCGAGCAGCAGTTGCTGCATTTTGAGGCGCTTATGGCGCTCACAAATGTCGCCAGCGTGTCAGAGGAGACGAAGGCGCGTATCGTGGGAGAGCCGCAGGGTCTTTCAACGTTGCAATACCTGCAGTTCTCGGAGCATGAGCTCGTTCGTCGTGCTGCCACGGAGGCCATTTGTAACCTGCTTCCGAACGAAAAAGTGGTCGAGCAGGTCTTCATGAACGACGAGAAGGTGCGTCTGTGGCTCGCGTTCGCGTCTCTAGAAGACGAAGCGGAAGACTTCGAGACTGCACGAGCTGCTGGCGGTGCGTTGGCGATGGTGTCGCAGGTGCCGCAGGTTAGTTGGGTGATCCTGCGTCAAGGTGGATTCAAGGCCTTCGCTGCCATCATCGAAGAAGGCTCCAATGTCGAGACGCTGCACCGTGCTCTGTTCGCGATGCAGAACCTGTTTGAGGCTCTATCCAGTGCGGCTAAGGACGAGGAGAAGGCAGAAGAAGGAACCAAATTCATTGAGGAAGTCAAACAGCATAGTGGGAAATTGAAGCAGAAGCTGGCAGCTCACAGTGGTAAGGACCAACTTAAGGAAGCAGCTCAGGCTTGCCTCGCAGCCTTGGAGCAGGTGATCGGGTAGTTGTAGGACAGTAGAAATTGTCTGAATGAATACATTTATATCGGATCTGTTTAATGCTCCATTTTGATAGCTGACGGGGAGATTGCAGCGCCGTAGACTGTCACGATGCAGTAGATGGTGCTGTTCTCCCAGAGCACCGTGCAGTATCCGTCCATGGTCGGATCCCAGAAGCAAGAGGCGGCTGTTGTCATGCCTGCGCCGGTCTTCTGCATGATGAGGCATGTAACTGCGTACTTGAAAGGCTTACTGAGGTTCTGCAGCCCCGTGAGTACACTCGCCACCAGCGTGTTGGACCAATCCATCACCTTCTTGCGGTTGTACACCGTGTCCTTCAACGCCGCCTCGATCGCCGTCTTGGCTATTGGCAGCACATCCTCCTGCGAGAATTCACTCTACAAAGCAGCATGTTAGTCAATGGAAAGTGATACAAGACCACGTCGGCTTGACCTCGTTAGTGTCCATGGATCACGATGTCTGATGGATACTTTCTGTGTCGTTTCGAATCTCTCGTAATTAGTCGTCCAGGTGAGCCACATCACAGATACACAAACGTTCTGTCCAAAGACGTGACACATACCTAACTAAGCTTGAACTTAAAAAAAGCGACGAAAATATCGGACAGAGCGCTGCATGAAACTTGCCATTCACTTAACGATTTGGTCCAGGCGGGAAGACGAGAGCTATGATTGACGACTCGATCGCTGTGCAGCGTCTACGACAAGAGCGCAAAAACTGGCGGCGAGACCACCCAGCGGGATTCTGGGCGCGTCCTATTGCCAATGACGACGGCTCGCTGAACCTCATGATGTGGCACGCTGGCATCCCAGGCAAAGCCGGCACGGACTGGGAGGGCGGCGTCTTTAAGATGTCGCTTGCTTTCTCCGGGGACTACCCGAGCAAGCCGCCGCTCGTCAAGTTCACTCCGCCGCTCTACCATCCGAACGTATATCCGTCTGGCACAGTCTGTCTGAGTATTCTGAACGAGGACAAGGACTGGAAGCCTAGCGTGACCATCAAGCAGATCCTCAAGGGCGTGCAAGACCTGCTGGACCAGCCCAATATGGAGGACCCAGCACAGCGTGAACCCTACATAGACCTCAAGAACGACCCGGAGCTCTACAAGCGCAAGGTGCGTCAGCTGGCGCTCAAGAACCGCGAGAGTTAGAGGAGAAACGCAAGTCAGGAGGAATAGGAGGTTTAAATACAGTCGGGAGTTGTGAGAAGAAGGAGAAAAATGCGTTTTTGGTTGTATTAGACTACACTGTAGTCATGCTCGTTCATCCTCCTATTTAGTGACGATCCTGGAGGGATAAAAGACACTTGCTGCGACTCTAGTCCTTCTTGAGTGCGAACATCTCCCTGTCAATACCCGAAGCCTTGATTGTCAAGATCTCCACGCTGTCGCCCGTGTAAATATCTCTCTGCACATAGAAAACAGCAGCACATAACCATCAGAAACGTATTCAAATGCCGTGTTGTTACCGTTGCCACTTACTTCTCCAGCCGTAATGAACGCGTCCTTGATGATGTCCTTGGTCTCCTGCAGTGTGAGCGCCTTCTTCGGGTCCGTGCGGGTATCGTGCTCCACCAAATTGTCCAGAAGCGGGATCATCAAGTGACCTCCGCTGCCCTGAGCCGCGCGCGTGACGCGATCGTATGAGCCAATGGCGTCGTACGTGTACACAACGCCCTTGCCGTTCTCGTCGATACCGCACAGGATGCAGAAGGCGTAGTACGGGAAGAAGCGACGCGAGTAGAGTGTGTTCATCAGCAGCTGCGACATGGCGCTCGAAGTCATGGACGTCTCATTGTCGTGCTGGTACATTTGCGCACGGATGCTCAGCACACCGCGTAGTTGGATAATGTCATTGTGCGAGCCGGGGCATCCCAGCACCGTCGTGGGCGTCAGCTCGTGCAGCTTGCTCTCATCGCGACTGAGGATCGAGTAGCCCGTGCTCAGTCGTGTGTCGCCAGCAACAACCACAAAATCCTCGCCCGCGATGGCCAGCACAGTGCCGCCGTTGAAGTCGTATGGCTCCCAGTTCGCGCGCGCCTGTTCATGCACACCCTCGGCCTGCACATCACGCAGCCCCAACTTGGCATCACCGCTCGTCGTCCACGCCACAGCTTCCGGCATACTACGAGACATCGCTACTCTGGATAAAGATGGCTCGATCTTTAGCCTGAAGATTTTCTTCTCTTTGGGGGGAGATACTATTCGTCATTCAAACAAGGATTGATCCCCGATACAGTGACACAGAACCGATAAACCGGTCTTTTAAAAGATCGACTTGACCTGCGTTTTGTATCAACACTCCGATTCAAATCGGTATACCGATCAGTATTGTTGGCTGCCGCGAGCGGCGAGCGTTCATTCCAGCCGTACAGTGAGACCTGTCAAGTTGCCGTCCCCTCTTGCTGCAGCTCTCCCTTCCTTGCTGCTCTACACACCCCAAGGGCATCACTATCAGTCCACAGATCAAGTCCGCTAACTAACTGACACAATGGAGCGCGAGCCGTGTCCCTTCCGTATCGTGGAGGACGCGGGCGGAGGTTTCGTGCTAGGCGCCGTGTTCGGCTCTGGCTGGTACACGTTCAAGGGTGCGCGTAATTCGCCGTCCGGCCAGCGCTTCCGCGGCGCCATCTACAACGCTAAGATGCGCACACCCGTTCTGGCCGGTGGCTTCGCTGTCTGGGGTCTGCTCTTCTCCTCATTCGACTGCTCTTTCGAGGCTCTGCGACGGAAGGAGGACCCATGGAACTCTATCCTGGCCGGCGCGGCCACAGGTGGCGCTTTGGCAGCCCGTGCAGGCCCGCGCGCCGCCGCAGGACAGGCTCTCATTGGTGGCGTGCTGCTGGCCGCCATTGAAGGCGTGAGCATCATGGTGAACGAATGGTTCGCCCCGCAACCCGACCAGGGCATGGCTGGCGACATGATGGGCAACCCGGAGCTGGACGAACAGAAGCTGGCACCGCCGTCGTTCTAATTGGACGATGCGCTCGGCTGTTGCCGGCTTGTGTTTGTTATATAGAGAGCAGGAAGCTTCTGCTCTGCGGATATGGGGCCACAACGTGTTGCTGCCCTCCTTAATTATAGGAAGGACCTACGCTCCCGGATCGTTAGGATCTGGGCCGAGGATACATAGAGAACCAGATTGGAGAGGTGTGTGCAAGTTCAACGCCTGCTTTGAAGCGGAGCAAACGTGAGCTTGTGGACGACGAAGTGCGAGAGGAAAGATGGCGAGAAGAGAAGCGCAGGTGTCGACAGGTGAGAAAGAGAACAAAGAGACGGCGATAACTGGCGCGAAGAACGAATGGCAATGTAACCTTAGACGCTTCAACGCGCTTCCGTCTTTTTAAATTGAGTTTGCAAGCTGAAGCGGAGTCGTCAATCGTTATTTCTGTCAGATATGCACTTGAGGCGCGACGAGAAAAACCGGCAGAAACGCTGCGCCGAAACGGACCTGAAGGTTAGGACGCATTCCCATCATCGAGTGGCAAGACGCGACTTGATACAGCAGCAAGTCCGTAAGCTGTAAAGCTCATTGAAGGACAGCAAGATGGCGGAGATCAGCTACTATGATGCAGACTTGAGTGACGCGATCACGAAGCTCAACGAACTCATGGGCAAAGCTGCTAAGGCGCCACCTGGAGTCCGACCCGAAGTACGATGGCTGAGAATGACATTGTAGGGTTTCCTCTAAGCTTGTGTGGTGTAGATGCTCGCAATGGCCGAAGTGAAGCTCAAGGAGATGATTGAGCTCAAGAAAGGCTTCCAGCTAGCACTTCGTCAAGCTCCGCGTGACCAAGTTGCTGCATTTCGCGAGGTTCGTGCTCGTATGAGCTCTGTAAAGGTACAAAACTACAACAGACTCTTAACATGGGACGATGTAGAAATTCGAGGAGCATAGTGCTCGCGTTGAAGAGCTGTCGAGTGAATTTCGATGGGCTAAAGCTGAGCAAGAGCGCAACGGTCTATTCGGTGATCGGGCTACCACAAGCGCCGCTGCAGCCAGAGGCACAAATGGCTTGGGCAACAAAGACTTGCTCGATAAAACTCTGGACATCCAGTCGAAGACGGAACAAAGCCTTATGAGCACGGCAAAGATGGTTGAGCAGTCGAAAGACGTCGCAGCAGCCACAGCAGAGGCGCTACGAGGCCAACGTGAGCATATCGTGGAGATCACAGACGCTGTGATGGGGATCGAAGACAGTTTGCAACGAGCTGACAAGCTGATCCGCTCTTTCGCGCGGCGTATGGCCACAGATCGAGTTATTCTGCTCTTTGCCTTCCTGGTGATCGTCGGAATCGCGGGCATCGTTGGCTACAAGTCGATGCATCCGAATGACACGACGTTCTACGTGCCAGATGAGGTTACTCCCCCAGATCCCACCGCACTCTACAATACCACTGTGGCTGCTTTAAACAGCACACTCAACTCATGAACCCATCTAGCATAGCTACAGCATATCACAACGTGAACGAATGTAATCCTTATACCTATCTAGGAGCTGTCACTACTTGACCCCGATTCAGATTCAGACTCGGACTCTTCTCCGGAACCTTCACTGGAGTCGCTTTCCTCGTCTAGGTCGTCAGCTTCCGACTCGACATGCAAGAACTCTTTGAGTTGATACAATTTCTGTAGCTTCGCTCGATGCCCTGCTTTCTTAATGTGCATGGCATCCAGTGTCTTGTCATCCAGATCGCCCGTGGCTAACAGGAAAGTAGCATCATCGAAGCCCTCATCAAAGAACGACTGCGCGTACTCCACCAACCCGATGCTTGCCAACCAGCTAGAAAGCTGCGTTCGACCGGCGGCACGAGTTGCGTAGTCTACGAGAGCCGCGCGTACGTCATAGAACTCAAGTTCCTCTGCAATTTCGACCGGTGTCGTTCCCCTCTGACAATTAAAATCTAAGAGAATCGTCATACATTTCGAACATAACTGTTAGGAAATACCTTGGATTGAAGTTGTTGAATGTTGAAATCGTTCAGCAAAAGTTTGACTATTGCGTGATTGCCTTGCAGAGTTGCCAAGTGCAGTGGTGAACAACCCACCTACGAGTTGCAAAGTAGCTGTTAGAGTTGAAAGGTCTTTGTAGCAGTACGATGCGTACTTGACTGTCAACAGCATTAATTTTGGCTGCTGGCGATGCTGCGAGCAATAACTTGACGATAGCTTCGTGTTCAAAACGAACTGCAATATGCAACGGCGAGTACGCGTATTTTGTCTGAACAAGCAAGAGCTACTAAGATCTCAATCTTGGAAATAATTGTATCACCAAAACGTACGTTGCCCAGAGCATTTACAGCCTGGGGGCTCGTAGCAATAATCTGGGACACAAGCTCTGTATCCCCTAATGCACACGCGTATTGTAGCGGTGTCCACGCCAGAGTGTCGCGAGGCGAGCCCGCCTCCAGTCTACCGCAGCTTACTTCCTCCTTAGAGACTCCCAAGTCTTCCAGTTGCGACAGCATCGTGGCGACTCGACGGCTCTCAAGCGTCGCTTGTGTAAAACAGTAATTGCTGCAAAAAGGCCTCAAATTTGTATCATAGCTTGCATAAATTCTAGTGAAATGGCCAAGACTTGGTGACGATAAGCGTCACTGCCGCCGCCACCACGACCACCAACAGCACGGCAATGGGCTCTGGGGGCTTGTACAACTCGCGGAAGCGGAGGTTCTCGTTGCGTTTAAGCATTCGACGCTTCCGACGCATCGCGGCGATGAATTTGTCTCCGAGGGTCTTCCGAGTCTCGTCCTTAAACGTAAATCTGGCCTGCATCTCTGCCTGATCTTGTAGAAGGGCGTCGTAAGCTGTTGTTTCATCTAGACCGTCCACGAGGTCGTCGCCTTCATCGTCTCCAGGGTCGTCGGTCGTTCCCAGCAATGGAGAGTCATTAGGAGACCGTGCTTTCACGGGGCTCCCTTTGCGATATACGTGTGGATCACTCGGGTCTTCCTCAGATCTATCTAACGTAGCAACCTTGCCTCGAACGGCAGCCTTAGCGTACTGTGCCGCACGCTGGTTCATTCTTGCACTTCAGCGTCTCTTGAAAGCGAATGTTCACTTCAACTTGTTCTGATGCAACCTTCCTGCGACCATCAGACGACATCGTGGAGACAAAGAACCTTCATCGTCATACCGAAGATTACCGATTCCCGTCGCACTAAAAAAAAGCAAGCGAGGAGAGCCGCACAACGGAGAAGACTAGTGCCAGAATGCCGAGTGCGAAGTGGGAAATTGCGCGCATCGGCGTCTATATCAGCAGTGCGTTATTGGTTTTATCAGCTTCGGGTGCATGTCGACCGTGTGAGCTAATACCTGCTACATTTGTCCTCGATTCGCAGTCCCCATTGTAGCAACGTGCATCTACGCCCAGCCAGACTGCATTAACTACATCATCAATAGGGTGAGCTGGTCTTGACCGTTGGCAATCAAGCCCCAATTGAATCTAAACCTACTTTTATGTTGTGATGATGTTGTAGTGGAAATACATTCAGTACCCGCCCCAGGCTGTGTCTCGCGAGGAGTACTACAAGAAGATGCGCGAGATGGCGAACGAGGACAAGTAAGAGATCGTACTGCTCGTGGATAAGAAAGCTAGGCTATCTGCTGTGACTGCATCGCAATCTGTGACGCTAGCTGACAGGAGACGAACCAACTCACTTATATAAAGGCTAAAAACACGTTGCATTTTTGCTGGTGGCTTGAGTGGCTTGGCATGTGACAACAAGGAGGAACGCAGCGTAATAATGTATCACAGGTTGCGTCAAAACTGTCCAAAAGAGCTGTGATGCACTGCCTGCTATTCGCACAGCCCTGCTGACCTGCCTGGTTGCATCGTGATGGCACCAGTCCTTGCGTTTATAGTCGCGCTGAGCTCTCCATTTCTCGTTCACTGTTTTCGGAGAAGACAGTAAATCCGTGTGTCGTTGTGAATCATGTGCAAATGACGCTGCTCGCCACGCAGACACATGAGCAGTCCGCCGAAGCTGGCGTAAATAGCCACCATGTTTCCTCCCTCGTGGTCGTACTGGAACACCTTGCCATACATACCGTAGTCATAACGGTCCAGAAGTGTCGGCTGTTGTACGTAAATCAGTAAGCAGAAAAGTCATAATGCCAGCGATCCACCAAACTCCAGTCCACGACGCACCTTGCCCGACTGGTTAAAGATGCCATCATCCGGCTTGCCTTCCAGGTCCAGCGTGCTTACGAGCGCTAGCGTGAACTTCTCGTTCTGACGAAGACGGTAGACCTCGGAGTTGATGTCCAGCGTCAGCTCCAGCTCGTACGACACACCCTTGCATACCACGCGGGTCACTGTCAAATGTGTCAATAGTTTTGCTCGTTAATCATCCCTAAACCGCATTCCAGAGCGTCTACGACGACGAAAAAGCACCAAATTATGCAGCAGAAAACGGCGCGCACCTTTGTCAAACTTCTTGCCATCCGGGTTGAGCTGGCGCACCTCGAAGATATCCTCAAACAGTTCGGTCGCCATCGTCTCCCAACTTTCGATTCACAAAGTGGCGTCCACCAGCCAAAGCACACAAACCGTGCTCAACCGGTATCTCTTTGGAATCCGGTATCAACTCGGTAGTTGTGTAAAATACATCAATCAAACATGGCAACCGACGTCCGTAACGACAGAGCCAGAAGACGAGTAGAGATAATCTAGCGAGGCTTTGCCGGCCTAAGATAACCTTGCGCTGGAACGTGTCGACTGGGGAGACCATCTCACCTCAAGAACATAGCGTCCAGCTCACACCGAGTTGTGGTGATCTCCGGAGATCACGGCCAGGGCCCCGAGTTCGGTAATGACGTCCCTGAAGATCGCGATGTTTCTGCTACTCGAGTGGCTGGCGCAATAGTCGCCGAAGGACGATTGGGTGACGCTGTGGGGATGGTCATGGACGACGCCACGGAGCAGTACGACATCCTGAACACACTGGCGGATATTACAGGCGTTCCAGAGGGAGGCTTCGAGCAAGACGGTGTGGGTCGGTCACTTAAGCGCAAGGTTAAATTCGGGAAGAGAGTCGTGTACAGCAACAATCCGACACGAAAAATGTCGGTAGTGCGAGGACACGAGCGACTGCGGTATGATAAGGTGACGGACTCGATGCTGCTGCACAATCCCGATACGGATCACGACATGAAGAACGATCTACTGCCTACTCTGACGCAAGAAGAACGCGCCGACTGGATTAGCTGGCGCGATGCCGGACGTCGTATCAACTCTTACTACACAAAGCGCTGGGAAGGCAAGTGCTTGCTTGCTGCAGAGTGTTCGTAGATACGAGCGAAGAGTAAGCGGATAGAAATAGAAATGATACTTTATTGTCAAAAC